AGCCCGTTGCCTTGTCGGTTTTCGATCGGGAATATACAATGTTTTGTTAGTACTGAACTGCACAGTCAACACCTGAACTCCGTATCATTGTCGGCGTGGCCATCAGATTTTGTCAATAACCAGCACATGTAAATGGAGAATAGACATTAACTCCACTTCGTGACGTAAAGCGTAAAACACATGGTGGGTGGAGAACTGGTGGTTCCCTCTGCTGTCATGCTGCCGAGGATTACGCTCAAAAGACTTGCTTCTCGCCAACACACCACCGCCTACCCCATGGCAAAGTTATACATTTTTGGACGATCCAGCCCTGCTTACTTAGACAGCGAGGTGGCTAAACCTGCCAAGGCGAATATGCCAGTAAATAAGTTGGTTCTCTAACCCAGCTTTTAGAGGAGAATACAATTAACGAGATCCTAGTTTATTTCCTGCCCTGCAAGGATCCAACCCCTACATTTTGCAACCCATCAGATCCTCTTGACTGACATCTGAGACCAAAATGCACACAAAAAGGTTTATTTGGGGGGGGGGAAGCATTTACCGACTTCCGGTTTGACCTGTAACACGCAATAAAAAAACTCAACATTCTTGTCCATCATCCGGGAGCAGGAACACTAATCCCACAGTGGTGGTGGTGGTGGTGGTGGTGGTGGTGAAAGGGGGGATTTTCATCGGCCGTAAGAAGGCCATTTTCAAAATCAGCGTGAATTTTCTGACATGGTTTTTCCGGTGCATATGTGCGCGTTAAGTGCTTCACAGGAACGCCTGCTTGTGATGCTTTTGTGCTAGTGTATGGACGTGAATGTGATCTAATGGTGCGTGTGGGATCTGGGTCTAAAGGTCTGTAAGCGTCTGCTATGCTAGGATCAGCAAACCATGGCCCTCGGAGCCTGGTATGTGCTGGCAGTTCACTGACACCTGGCTCACTGCCGGTAGATGTACTTGCGATCCCGCTGCGTATACAGGTTGTGGTAAGATCTTACTTCGTGGTCGCACCTGTTACGGGTTAGGGGTTAGTGTTATGAGTTAAGGTTGGGGGTTGAGGCTAGCGTTGGGAGTTAGAGTTAGGGTTAGGGGTTGGGGTTAGGGGTCGAGGGCGAGGACTAGGGGTTAGGTTTAGGAGTTAGAGGTTGGGGTTAGGGGCTAATGTTATGGGTTAGGGTTAGGCGTTATTGTTAAACCCCCTATTACCGCCGGTCCCGTATGACAGGCAACTGGGCCTTGTCTACTGCAGGTGCGACTACGAAATAAGCTCTGACCCAGGTCGTGAGCATGGCTACCCAGTCATCCTCGTCCTTCTGACCCGTTTGTTTTGTTGTTGGCTAGAATCCTGGCCAAGTATTGTTTTGTGAACCAGGAGGGTGTGGAGCGGAAGGCCAAGTTGCGGACTCGCTCGCTCGCGCCAGCCACTTGCTCCCTCTCCCACCTCCGATCTTCCTGACTATGTCCTGACACCGGGTCCAGGTGGGGGGGGGGGAGGAGGACAGAGTGCGGTAGATGCTGCGCAAGTCTGAACTCACTATAAGCTAAATCACGCGGAAGTCACCGTGTCTGCTTCATCCTGTTGTGGAGCACACGGTGGACATCATCGGCAATGGCGGTTGAACTGTCGTCGTGTCTGGATCCATGTTGCGGTGTTGCGGTCACACAAAGTTCACCGATGCAATTGACATGTCACTCCTATGCTGGCGGTTCCCAAAAAGGCGCTAGTAAACACAGTGGATGCTTCTACTTCTAGTCTGTGGGCGAATTCACTCAACTTGGGTGTGTCATCGAAAAAAACATCGATATTGAAGACGAAGTTGTGAGTCGAGTCTTTACGGCCAGACAGGTCCTCAGCAAGCTGCAACCCCCAAGTCCTCTTCAACACGACATCTAGGATTTACAGGTCCGTCTTCCTAACTACTCTCTTGCACGAAACGGATACATGGGTAGTTAACTGATGTCGGTCAAGAAAACGAAATGGCTGCAGGTGTTTGCGATGAACATCGGAAGCAAAGTGGAGGGAAAGGTCCCCGAACACTGAGTTTCTGCAAATAAATGACCTACTACCACTACTGCCCAACTACGATTGGGTAGCCACGCTGTGAGGATGGCCTGTCAGCGCCTGGCAGAGCGACTGGCCTATGGTGACGTCACTTCAGAGGCTCGCAATGAGGACGGGTAAAAGCGACTAGAGAGAGATGCTTTGTCATGGAAGTGTCTTTTAAAATTTCTAGCAAAAACGTCCATCAATTGCCGGAAATAAATATAGGTACGCGAAATATATGACACCGAAAGACTGAAAAAACACAAGTTATCAGCCACAAGCTGTCGGAACCAATGACAATCGTCGGTGTTTTCGGTGCAAAATTGGCACCAGACTATATTTTCTTCGATACGGCGCTAGCGTTGTCCACACATGACCTCATAATTGCAGTTCATACCAGTAAAGAGGATAGAAAATCGGCATAGAGCAGGTAAAACAGGCCAAATGACGTACAGTTAAGACTAATTCTACGTGAACAGAGGGTAGGAAAGAGGCAATGAAACTCCGATGACTTCTCTCAGGCATCTGCAAATCAACAAATAGGTCCCGATAGGTCTGCGCTCAAAATCAGCGGACACATCAAGTTCACCGAAGCAACCGACATGTCGTTCCTATTGAATTCGAACCTGCCACAGCAGAAGCAAGGCTTGAGCACAGTCAACGCTCGAACTACCAAAGCTACGAGGTCACATCGGAAGTCGTGGGTCAAGTTACCCACATAACCTACTGCGACGCACAGAATCCACCAAATCCACTGAATGCCCAAGCAGGAGTTCCTGGGAAACCATTCTGGAATCCACTAGGTAGCCAGTAGGCTTAATTAATATGCGGGTAGGATTGACTACATATGTGGACGTCAAAACGGCGCAGAAAAGCAGGAGCCGCCTGCAGTACGGGCGGTTTTCCGGCGACTTCCAGTAAAATTAGGGTTTGGTTTAAGGTAATGTTTGTAAGTAAGGTAAGGATTAGGTTCAAGGCTAGATTTCAGGTTAACGGTAAGGTAAGTCAGGACCAAGCTAAGGGTTAAGTGTGAACTGCAGAGTTGGGACCAAGATTACGGCAACAGTTTAGTTTAGTAGTAGGGTTAGCGTTGGTGCCAGGACACGGGATTATTTCGTCCTTTCTAGCATTATGCCTAGGTTCACCCTTATTACTTGAGCGGGGAGTTACTATTTCCATGTCGTGTTTAGATGCCGACACAAACGAGTGTCTGCAGATTTTAAATAATCTACTTTGGCCATTTAATCGCGCAAGCCTGGTAGTCATCTGGTAGACTGCAGATTAATTTCGCTGACTGCCCGTTTACGATCAAGGGAGAGAAAGCCGTTTTATTTTGGAAGCATTATTTCAACATTTTCAGCAAAGAAATCCATTCACAGTGGGTCTGCGAAACAAATAACACCAGAGGATCACAAGCGATAACTGTCGAAAAATGCAATTGTCGACATCAAGAAGAATAGTCGGTGAGAGAATTCCAAAATTCGCGTCACATTCAACTTCCTTCAAAAAGGTGCTGGCGTAGTGTGCGAATGACCTCATAAATGTAGTTCGGACAATCAAAGAAGGGAAAAAGTTCGTATTTAACGAGTAAATAGCCCAATGCATGTGCCTATAGGAAAATTCCCATTTGAATGGAGAGCCGAAGATGGCGGCTCAGTTTAAAAGCCCGCCAAGGCGTGCTTTACAAGGGTCCTCTTATGTCTCTTTAGGGAATTGTTATACAGCTCTGAAAATCATACAGGTTTGAGACAACTACTGTCTTTTAAAAGGGTACTTTAGGTTTCGTAACCGCCTGATGGGTCTATTACTGAATTATAACTGAACAGTGATGAAACTTGGCGATCCGCACAAACGCGTCTGAGGCCCTGAACTACCAACCGTAAACAGATAACCGTCTGGGCATAAACTGGAACGCGTCAAAAGTAATCTGATTTCAGACGTCACATAGTCCGATCGGTCAGTCGCCGAACTGACAGTTCGGAGATTACAACCTGTAGAATATTCTACGTCGTTGATCTCTGGCCATGTTTTGTCCGACAGCAGTCATGTTTGAGAGGGGGGGGGGGCTAGAATGTGGCTACCGAATCGCTGCTGCCTACATGGCCAAAAATGCGGTAGACAGTGAGTAAACTTACGCAGCAAAAACCCAAAATGTCATGAGACATGTTCGAGATCATGACTCCAGCGGCATACGCTGCCACGCTCCGACATCGCCGGAAGCGCATGTCATGCAAACACTACTCAGGTTTTTATAGGAGTCGTGGATGGGGACATGGTAAATGCGCAAACTCGTGAAATGTTAATCGAAATTCTGGAATGTGTTTCCCACTCGAAAAGACTACTTACGTAGGGTTACAATACTAATCACCGTGCAGTATAGGCCATGATACGTCTGTTACTTCAGCACTTCTTTTCGGTTGCCTGCAAAAACGGTTAAAGTTGACTGCTTAAGTAGTATGCATTTTCCTCATCGACTTTTGATGGCATTATAAATTCAGATATATTCCATAGAAAACAGGCATAAAAATATCCATTCTCTTAATCATTTGGTGGAAAACTGCGTCGTACCTAGATTTTATACTTGAAGGAAGGGCGTAACTCAGTTTTATGACCGGGGAAAACCACGATTATTTTTGCGTTCAGGGGAGACACCTTCATCGCATGTTCATTTCGAAGAACGGGGACTTCAGGCAGATCTGACCTACTTGCTAGGCCGGTGGTTGTCCAATTTATCAGAAGCCTAAATTGTGATGTTTGCCTTTGTTAGAGGGGCAATAATTAATATTAATTGTTAATAAAGGTAACTTAGTACTGTGATTTATAAGTATGCTTTTTGTATTTCTATCACTTCGTCACCAAGCAGTGTACGCTATCCCACTTGTACTGTCCTCAAGCGGAGTGAAGCAGGGCTGTGTGCTGGCGCCTACCCTCTTCAGTCTCATGTTCTCAGTCATGCTGATGGACGCCTACCGCGACGAACGCCCTGGAACCCGCATCGCCTATAGAACGGACGGTCATCTCCTGAATCACCGGCGCATGAACTTCCAATCGCGTGTATCCACAGCCACCGTGCACAAACTCCTCTTCGCCGACGACCGCGCCCTGAACACCACCTCAGAAGTGGAGATGCAACGGAGCATGGACCTATTCTCCGCCGCCTGCGAGAACTTTGAGCTGGTTATCAACACGCAGAAGACGGTGGTGATGCATCAGCCGCCTCCGAGCTCAGCCACAGCCCCCAACGCGCCGCAAATCAACGTGAATGGGACTCAACTGCAAGTGGTAGAGAACTTCCCGTACCTGGGCAGCACGCTCTCCCGCAACACCAAGATCGACGACGAAGTCGCCAACAGGATCTCGAAAGCCAGTCAAGCCTTCGGTCGCCTCCAAAGCACAGTTTGGAATCGTCACGGTCTCCAACTGAGCACAAAGCTGAAGATGTACAAGGCCGTCACCCTGCCGACGCTACTGTACGGAGCGGAGACCTGAACGGTGTACACGAGGCAGGCACGTGGACTAAACCACTTCCACCTCAGCTGTCTCCGCCGCATCCTGAGGCTGAACTGGCAGGACCGCATCCCCGACACCGAAGTGCT